ACGAGTAGGAGGCAACGCAATAGGGAAGAGCACCGAAGCAGTATCTGAGATCTTGTTGCAAAGGAATGCGACAATATAATGGTGTTTTCGGGGAGGACAGTGCGTGCTCATTTCATCTGCAGTCAAGGAAAAACCAGAGGACGTGCGCATGGAGCGCACACCATTTGTTGTAAGAGTCCATTATCGGAGAAAACGGAAGAAAAGCTAAATGGTCGCAAAGTGGTCGGCAACGGCGGACTTGCCTTGTAGAGAGAGGAAATAAAGACGGCCGGAGCGCAGGTCATGTCACACTAACGAATCGATCTCCGAGATGTCTACAGTGGACGGCGTGACCATAGCCGTGGGCTGTTTGGTGTCAGTGGGGACTGAATGATCGTTTTAAACCATCGTCGCCCAAACAAAGTGACAACGACGCCCGATAACACCGTCTCTCGCCAAGTAGACCGTATTGGAGCAGTAGTGTAGTTGTTAGTCGGAGGATTAAATTCAATAAATTTGAAAAAAGCGGAGTCAAATCCGGACTGGGCTCTGTTTTTAGAGTAGTTAGCAGGCATGTTTACCTCGTACTTTGTCGTTTCTACGTCTATTTGCTCGTTCGTCAAGTGTCTTCTGATGTTTAACATTCGGGAGAGGAAGGCTCCCTACATGTGTTGGGCTACAGGCCCCCAAATTTATAAAACAAGCGGGCCAGAATCCGGGGACAAGCCCGTTCGTTGGAAACGTTCTGTAAATAGGCTCAAAATTGTTCACGGCTTGCCCCCTCAGTATACGGTGCAAAACAAAGCCTTGGTTGGAGAACAGGTTAAATCTATGACCCATGTCTTTGTGGGGTAGATAAGAGGAACCATCATTTTATGAAAAAAGTGATAAGACAAGACGGAAACATTTCTAGTGATGACAAATTTCGGGATGTTGGGTCTTGCTGCCAGACGTTGTGTTTCTGGCGACCTCTCAGTTAGCTTACAGACATCTGCAGTTACAAATTCCGCCGTTGTCAACAGCCATACACCGACAAGGTGTTAGCCCGTCTGGAAAATGACGGCCAAAAACGCCCGCACTGTGCCAGGTATGAAAAATACACGAGCAAATGGAGCACATTTCTTCCCATGCCGGCTCATCTCCCAGAATTCGCGACAGAAATTCCCAGCTCTACCGCGCAGGCTCGGTGCGCAGGCTCGGGCGTCACCGAGGCGGTGTTGGCGTTCATGCTTGACCTCTAGGCTGCCTGCTCGTGTATAAAACTGAGGCCACAGCGGGAGGAGGCATCAGTCGCAGCACAGCACTCAGCCAGGTAAGGCGCTTCAGCCCGGGCCGGCTCGGCCACTGCGGTGTCGAAGGCCTGGCCACCTTGCCAACGGTGCTGTGGGTGGTCTGGGGGCTGCGGTAGTGGGTGGAACCAGGCCATAGTTATATGACGAGTTATGAGCGAGAGCAGCACAGGGTGAATCCGGGTCATGTTGCCATTTCTCAAGCCGGCTGTAATTAGCAGTTGAATATTAGGCTTAAAGTAAGATTGAGACAGCGTCGTTACCATCTGATAGCTTGCTGCTGTGCTGCTAGAAAATGATGAGCTGCCGATTAGAAAGTCGTCATCTGTGTCTGTTTCTAAAGGGAACAACTCAAACCTTTTGTTGTGTGTAAAAGCGACAGTTGTGGTGGGAAGCGAAACAAACGGACTATAGGCCCACAAAGTGCGGGAATAAATCCATGGCAGCATCATGCATCATGCCTCAAAACTGGTAGCATTGATGTATTTCGGACATGTCTGTGTGGGGTCATTAAAAAAGATGGCGCAGCCACGCGTAGTTTTACTGTCAGAAACTGACCTCAGATTGGTATGTTTTCACATGAGCTCGTTTCATTTACGGTGTAGGGTGGAGCCGCGCAATCACCAGCACCGTGGAGGCACCATCAATGTTTGAGTTCAATAGCAGTTGTTTGTGGTTGACCAGTGCTTGTGTTGCAGCAGCTATGAAGGTCGTCGCTCTCCTGCTTGTGGTCTGCGCCTCCGTGGCTGGGCGAAGCCCCTCTGCATCGGAGGCATCTGCATTCCTAGCAGTCAGGCCACTGGAGGGGCTGCGGGCACCGTCACCAGTGGCACCAGCAACACACCTGGTGGCACCAGCAAGATTACGTCCGTCGGTCCTCTGCAGGGTAAGTACGCGCAAAAACGAGAGCCGTCGTCGAGCATGTCTGGAAAAGGTGAAACTGAATTAGGTTGGTTGTTCGCATTCCGTTAATGGAATGAAACACGCATTAGATTAGGTTGACCTTACAGCGTTCCAGTAGTGCAGGCAATGCTATGCATGTGCACCCCACGTTTTACTTGATTTGCCCGCCTTCGATAACTCATATAACAACTGCCAGCTTACGACCACCCGTCCGTTGTATTTATTCTTAGTTCGTACAATGAGGCATGCTATGAATGAACTAGGTTAATCAGTGCATGGCAATGAGTGTGGTGCTCTGTTTGAATTCATTTCTTTTGCAGGGATCCGCCAGCGGGACGTGTGCGAGCCAGCAGCCAACCTCGGCACATGCCTCCAACAAGAACACAACAGGGCCTGCTGGGCAATGCGGAGTCAAGCGACACCGGAGCCGTCTTCAACCAGTAACACCGGTGCTAAATGACTCAGTCCGCAGTCATCTCGGCATGCGTTTCGCAGTGGCAGATTGTGAAACGCTTGTTACCGTCGACAGACGTTGTGATATCGGGCGTCGGTTGTGATATGGGATCGAAATGTGCAATACAGGCTTACCCCCGACATGATTGAAGTCTAATGTGTTGGCGCTGCCAGTGTCAGTTGATATTTCTCCGTGGAAGACGCACCACAAACCTCGTGCCAACTCCGATAGTCATTCATATCTTGGAGACGCATCTCCATCATATGTGAAATCCATTGAAATGACTAAGAGCGGTTCGGATCATGTTTTATCCTACAATTGGCCAGAAGTACTGAAAAAACATGACTTTTTCAATGCTTGATTCCAATGGCTGGGAGCATTGAACTCGGGGGAGCGAACCATGTAACTTACGGAAAGAGGCTGAATTACTACGGTTGTTCATGTTTCATAATGCGTTTTATACTTGGCAGTTTGCCCACATGCGCGTTCTGACAGCTCCGAATGAGCATGATGTCCATTATGTCGTGTTCTGGAGTCGCGATGAAATGTTATGGAATTACAAACAAGCATCAACACTCATCACAAGCTTGTCAACACGTGACCAGGAAGTCCCGCTGTATTGAAATAAACACTTCTCAAATTATGGACTATTATATAATATGGACTGTGCTATCTTTTGAATGGCGATATGAACCAATTACTACCTTAAAATAGGTCGATGGGAGAGCTATTCAAACAAAAGTTAAAATGTCGCGGCAAACGGCTTTTGCCAACGCAGGTATCTCAGCACTCAAAGCAATGATACATACCCAGAACATCGAACCTGTGTATTCACGTTAGACTCTTTTTGATTTTCTGGACGACAGTTTTGCCTGACATATTTCAGAAAACTGGTACTCGTGCATACGGGCGAGCAGCCCGGGAGACGGAGACAACGACACGCCGGGGTGATGCAAGTCGCTCTCCCGGGCATCAGAGCGTCGCGGTGGTGCGAAATGCCTTCCCGTTAGAACCCGGTGCACCATGAGTACTGCCTGCCGGGGTTCATCGACCTTGATCGTGTGACGTGAGCATGTGACTGCAACGCAGGGAGCCTTCATTCCCCCGAAATGTTTGACATAAGACGACATTTGACGAAAGAGAACATAGACGTAGTAGGGACGAAGTAGGAGGCAACGCAATAGGGAAGAGCACACCGAAGGTATCTTAGATATTGTTGCAAAGGGAATGGCGACAATATAATGGTTGTTTTCGGGGAGGACAGTGCGTGCTCATTTCATCCTGCAGTCAAGGAAAACCAGAGACGTGCGCATGGAGCTGCACCCATTTGTTTGTAAGATGTCCATTCTCGGAGAAAACGGAGCAAAGCTAAAGTGGTCGCAAAGGCGGACTCTGCCTTGTAAGAGAGGAAATAAAGACGGCCGGAGCGCAGGTCAATGTCACACTAACGAAATCGATCTCCGAGATGTTCGTACAGTTGGACGGCGTGACCACTAGCCGTGGGCTGTTCTCGGTGTCAGTGGGGACTGAATGATCGTTTAAACCATCGTCGCCCAACAAAGTGACAACGACGCCCGATAACACCGTCTCTCGCCAAGGTAGACCGTATTGGAGCAGTAGTGTAGTTTTTAGTCGGAGGATTTAAATTCAATAAATTTGAAAAAGCGGGTCAAATCCGGACTGGGCTCTGTTTTTAGAGTAGCAGGCCATGTTTACCTCGTACTTTGTCGTTTCTACGTCTATTTGCTCGTTCGTCAAGTGTCTTCTGATGTTTAACATTTCGGGAGAGGAAGGCTCCCTACATGTGTTGGGCTACAGGCCCCCAAATTTATAAACAAGCGGGCAGAATCCGGGGACGAGCCCGTTCGTTGGAACATTCTGTAAGTAGGCTCAAAATTGTTCACGGCTATGCCCCCTCAGTATACGGTGCAAAACAAAGCCCTTGGGTTGGAGAACAGGTTAAATCTATGACCCATGTCTTTGTGGGGTAGATAAGAGGAGCATTTTATGAAAATAAGTGATAAGACAAGACGGAAACATTTCAGTGATGACAAATTTCGGGCTGTTGGGTCTTGCTGCCAGACGTTGTGTTTTCTGGCGACCTCTCAGTTAGCTTACAGACCTCTGCAGTTACAAATTCCGCCGTGTCAACAGCCATACACCGACAAGCGTGTTAGCCCGGTCTGGAAAACTACGGCCAAAAACGCCGCACTGTGCCAGGTATGAAAATACACGAGCAAATGGAGCACATTTCTTCCCATGCCGGCTCATCTCCCAGAATTCGCGACAGAAAGTTCCCAGCTCTACCGCGCAGGCTCGGTGCGCAGGCTCGGGCGTCACCGAGGCGGTGTTGGCGTTCATGCTTGACCTCTAGGCTGCCCTGCTCGTGTATAAAACTGAGGCCACAGCGGGAGGAGGCATCAGTCGCAGCACAGCACTCAGCCAGGTAAGGCGCTTCAGCCCGGGCCGGCTCGGCCACTGCGGTGTCGAAGGCCTGGCCACCTTGCCAACGGTGCTGTGGGTGGTCTGGGGCTGCGGTAGTGGGTGGAACCAGGCCATAGTTGTATGACCGAGCTCACTGAGCGAGAGCAGCACAGGGTGCAATCCGGGTCATGTTGCCATTTCTCAAGCCGGCTGTAATTAGCAGTTGAATATTAGGCTTAACAGTAAGCTTGAGACAGCGTCGTTACCATCTGATAGCTTGCTGCTGTGCTGCTGAGAAAATGATGAGCTGCCGATAGAAAGTCGTCATGTGTTTCCTGTTTCTAAAGGGAACAACTCAAACCCTTTTGTTGTGTGTAAAAGCGACAGTTGTGGTGGGAAGCGAACAAACGGACTATAGGCCACAAAGTGCGGGAATTATTCAATGCAGCATCATGCATCATGCCTCAAAACTTGGTAGCATTGATGTATTTCGGACATGTCTGTGTGGGGTCATTAAAAAAGATGGCGCAGGCCACGCGTAGTTTTCCTGTCAGAAACTGACCTCAGATTGGTATGTTTTGCACACTGAGCTCGCTTCATTTCACGGTGTAGGGTGGAAGAGCCGCGCAATCACCAGCACCAGTGGAGGCACCATCAATGTTTGAGTTTAATAGCAGTTGATTTGTGGTTTGACCAGTGCTTTGTGTTGCAGCAGCTATGAAGGTCGTCGCTCTCCTGCTTGTGGTCTGCGCCTCAGTGGCCTGGGCGAAGCCCCTCTGCATCGGAGGCATCTGCATTCCTAGCAGTCAGGCCACTGGAGGGGCTGCGGGCACTGTCACCAGTGGCACCAGCAACACACCTGGTGGCACCAGCAAGATTACGTCCGTCGGCTCCTCTGCAGGGGTAAGCACGCGCAAAAACGAGAGCCGTCGTTCGAGCATGTCTGGAAAAGGTGAACTGAATTAGGTTGGTTGTTCGCATTCCGTCAAATGGAATGGAAAAAACGCATTAGGTTGACCTTACAAGCGATCCAAGAGTGCATGAATGCCTGCATGACTCCCACGTTCTACTTGATTGCCAGCTTCGATAACTATATATACGAACTGCCAGCTTAGACCACCGTCCGTTGCATTTATTCTTTAGTTCGTACAGCGAGGCATGCTATGAAATGCATGGTAATCAGTGCATGGCAAGTGTGGTGCTCTGTTTTGAATCTCATTTCTTTTGCAGGGATCCGCCAGCGGACCGTGTGCGAGCAGCACCAACCTCGCACATGCCTCCAACAAGAACAAACAGGGACTGCTGGGCAATGCGGAGTCAAGCGACACCGGAGCCGTCTCAAACCAGAGCACCGGCTGCTAAATGACCCAATCGCAGTCATCTTGGCATGCGTCGCAATGGCACATGTGAAACGCTTGTTACGTCTACAGACGTTGTGATATCGGGCGTCGGTTGTGATATGGGAGCGAAATGTGCAATACAGGCTCATCCCCGACATGATTGAGCTCCATTGTGTTGGCGCTGCAAGTGTCAGTTGATATTTCTCCCTGGAAGACGCACCACAAACCTCGTGCCAACTCCGATAGTCATTCATATCTTGGAGACGCATCTCCATCATATGTGAAATCCATTGAAATGACTAAAAGCGGTTCGGATCATGTTTTATCCTACAATTGGCCAGAAGTACTGAAATAAACATGACTTTTTCAATGCTTGATTCCAATGGCTGGGAGTGTTGAAATCGGAGGAGCGAACCATGTAACTTACGGAAAGAGGCTGAATTACTACGGTTGTTCATGTTTCATGATGCGTTTTATACTTGGCAGTTTGCCCACAAGCGCGTTCTGACAGCTCCGAATGAGCATGATGTCCATTATGTCGTGTTCTGGAGTCGCGATGAAATGTTATGGAATTACAAACAAACTTCAACACTCATTACAAGCTTGTCAACACGTGACCAGGAAGTCCCGCTATATTGAAATAAACACTTCTCAAATTATGGACTATTATATAATATGGACTGTGTTATCTTTTGAATGGCGATATGAACCAATCACTACCTTAAAATAGGTCGATGGGAGAGCTACTTAAACAAATGTTAAAATGTCGCGCTGAACGGCTTTTGCCAACGCAGGTATCTCAGCACTGAAAGCAATGATACGTTCCCAGAACACTGAACCTGTGTATTCACGTTAGACTCTTTTTGATTTTCTGGACGACAGTTTTGCCTGACATATTTCAGAAAGCTGGTACGCGTGCATACGGGCGAGCAGCCCGGGAGCCGGAAGCAGCGGCACACCGGGGTGATGCAAGTCGCTCTCCCGCGCATCAGAGCGTCGCGGTGGTGCGAAATGCCTTCCCGTTAGAACCCGGTGCACCATGACTACTGCCTGCCGGGGTTCATCGACCTTGACCGTGTGACGTGAGCATGTGACTGCAATGCAGGGAGCCTTCATTCCCCCAAATGTTCGACATTAGACGACATTGGACGAAAGAGAACATAGACGTAGTAGGGACGACGTAGGAGGCAACGCAATAAGAAAGAGCAGACCGAACCTTTCTTAGACATCGTTGCAAGGGAAGTGAGGATGATATGATGGTTGTTTTCGGGGAGGACAGTGCGTGCTCATTTCATCCTGCAGTCAAGGAAAACCAGAGACGTGCGCATGGAGCTGCACCCATTTGCTTGTAAGATGTCCATTCTCGGAGAAAACGGAGCAAAGCTAAATTGGTCGCAAAGGCGGAATCTGCCTTGTAAGAGAGGAAATAAAGACAGCCGGAGCGCAGGTCAATGTCGCACTAACGAAATCGATCTCCGAGATGTTCGTACAGTTGGACGGCGTGACCACTAGCCGTGGGCTGTTCTCGGTGTCAGTGGGGACTGAATCGTCGTTTAAACCATCGTCGCCCAACAAAGTGACAACGACGCCCGATAACACCGTCTCTCGCCAAAGTAGACCGTATTGGAGCAGTAGTGTAGTTTTTAGTCGGAGGATCTTAACTCAATAATTTTGAAAAGAAAGCGGATCAAATCCGGACTGGGCTCTGTTTTTAGAGTAGCAGGGCATGTTTACCTCGTACTTTGTCGTTTCTACGTCTATTTGCTCGTTCGTCAAGTGTCTTCTGATGTTTAACATTTCGGGAGAGGAAGGCTCCCTACATGTGTTGGGCTACAGGCCCCCAAATTTATAAACGAGAGGCCAGAATCCGGGGACAAGCCCGTTCGTTGGAACGTTCTGTAAATAGGCTCAAAATTGTTCACGGCTAAGCCCCCTCAGTATACGGTGCAAAACAAAGCCCTTGGTTTGGAGACCAGGTTAAATCTATGACCCATGTCTTTGTGGGGTAGATAAGAGGAACATCTTATGAAAATAAGTGATAAGACAAGACGGAAACATTTCAGTGATGACAAATTTCGGGCTGCTGGGTCTTGCTGCCAGACGTTGTGTTTTCTGGCGACCTCTCAGTTAGCTTACAGACCTCTGCAGTAGCAAATTTCCGCCGTGTCAACAGCCATACACCGACAAGCATGTTAGCCCGATCTGGAAAATGACGGCCAGAAACGCCGCACTGTGCCAGGTAAGAAAATACACGAGCAAATGGAGCACATTTCTTCCCATGCCGGCTCATCTCCCAGAATTCGCGACAGAAAATTCCCAGCTCTACCGCGCAGGCTCGGTGCGCAGGCTCGGGCGTCACCGAGGCGGTGTTGGCGTTCATGCTTGACCTCTAGGCTGCCCTGCTCGTGTATAAAACTGAGGCCGCAGCGGGAGGTGGCATCAGTCGCAGCACAGCACTCAGCCAGGTAAGGCGCTTCAGCCCGGGCCGTCTCGGCCACTGCGGTGTCGAAGGCCTGGCCACCTTGCCAACGGTGCTGTGGGTGGTCTGGGGCTGCGGTAGTGGGTGGAACCAGGCCATAGTTATATGACCGAGTTTACTGAGCGAGAGCAGCACAGGGTGCAATCCGGGTCATGTTGCCATTTCTCAAGCCGGCTGTAATTAGCAGTTGAATATTAGGCTTAGCAGTAAGCTTGGACAGCGTCGTTACCATCTGACAGCTTGCTGCTGTGCTGCTAAGAAAATGATGAGCTGCCGATAGAAAGTCGTCATCTGTGTCCTGTTTCTAAAGGGAACAACTCAAACCGTTTTGTTATGTGTAAAAGCGAGAGCTGCGGTGGGAAGCGAACAAACGGACTATAGGCCACAGAGTGCGGGAATTATTCCATGCAGCATCATGCATCATGCCTCAAAACTTGGTAGCATTGATGTATTTCGGACATGTCTGTGTGGGGTCATTAAAAAAGATGGCGCAGACCACGCGTAGTTTTCGTGTCAGAAACTGACCTCAGATTGGTATGTTTTTCACACTGATGTAGAGTGGAGTGCCGCGCAATCACCAGCACCGTGTGGAGGCACCATCAATGTTTGAGCTCAATAGCAGTTGATTTGTGGTTTGACCAGTGCTTTGTGTTGCAGCAGCTATGAAGGTCGTCGCTCTCCTGCTTGTGGTCTGCGCCTCCGTGGCCTGGGCGAAGCCCCTCTGCATCGGAGGCATCTGCATTCCTAGCAGTCAGGCCACTGGAGGGGCTGCGGGCACCGTCACCAGTGGCACCAGCAATACACCTGGTGGCACCAGCAAGATTACGTCCGTCGGCTCCTCTGCAGAGGTAAGTACGTGCAAAAACGAGAACGTCGTTCGAGCATGTCTGAAAAAGGTGAACTGAATTAGGTTGGTTGTTCGCATTCCGTTAAATGGAATGGAAACACGCATTAGGTTGACCTTACAAGCGTTCCAGTAGTGCAGGCATGTATGCATGACCCCCACGTTTTACTTGATTGCCAGCTTCGATAACTATATATACTAACTGCCAGCTTAGACCACCGTCCGTTGTATTTATTCTTTAGTTCGTACAGCGAGGCATGCTATGAAATGCATAGTTATCAGTGCATGGCAAGTGTGGTGCTCTGTTTTGAATCTCATTTCTTTTGCAGGGATCCGCCAGCGGGCCGTGTGCGAGCAGCACCAACCTCGCACATGCATCCAACAAGAACAAACAGGGACTGCTGGGCAATGCGGAGTCAAGCGACACCGGAGCCGTCTCGAACCAGAACACCGGCTGCTAAATGACTCAGTCGCAGTCATCTCGGCATGCGTCGCAATGGCACATGTGAAACGCTTGTTACGTCGACAGACGCTGTGATATCGCGCGTCGGTTGTGATATGGGAGCGAAATGTGCAATACAGGCTCATCCCGACATGATTGAGCTCCATTGTGTTGGCGCTGCAAGTGTCAGTTGATATTTCTCCGTGGAAGACGCACCACAAACCTCGTGCCAACTCCGATAGTCATTCATATCTTGGAGACGCATCTCCATCATATGTGAAATCCATTGAAATGACTAAAAGTGGTTCGGATCATGCTTTATCCTACAATTGGCCAGAAGTACTGAAATAAACATGAACTTTTCAATGCTGGATTCCAATGGCTGGGAGCATTGAACTCGGGGTAGCGAACCATGTAACTTACGGAAAGAGGCTGAATTACTACAGTTGTTCATGTTTCATAATGCGTTTTATACTTGGCAGTTTGCCCACAAGCGCGTTCTGACAGCTCTGAATGAGCATGATGTCCATTATGTGGTGTGCTGAAGTCGCGATGAAATGTTATGGGATTACAAACAAGCATCAACACTCATTACAAGCTTGTCAACACGTGACCAGGAAGTCCCGCTATATTGAAATAAACAGTCCTCAAATTATGGGCAATTATATAATATGGACCGTGTTATCTTTTGAAGGGCGATGGGAACCAATTACTACCTTAAAATAGGCCGATGGGAGAGCTATTTAAACAAATGTTAAAATGTCGCGCCGAACGGCTTTTGCCAACGCAGGTATCTCAGCACGCAAAGCAATGATACGTTCCCAGAACATCGAACCTGTGTATTCACGTTGAACTCCTTTTGATTTCCTGGACGACAGTTTTACCTTGCATATTTCAGAAAGCTGGTACTCGTGCATACGGGCGAGCAGCCCGGGAGACGGAAGCAGCAGCGCACCGGGGTGATGCAAGTCGCTCTCCCGCGCATCAGAGCGTCGCGGTGGTGCGAAGTGCCATCCCGTTAGAACCCGGTGCACCATGAGTACTGCCTGCCGGGGTTCATCGACCTTGACCGTGTGACGTGAGCATGTGACTGCAATGCAGGGAGCCTCCATTCCCCCGAATGTTCGACATTAGACGACATTGGACGAAAGAGAACATAGACGTGGCAAGGACAACGTACGAGGTAATGCAATGAGAAAGAGCAGACCGAACGTTTCTTAGATATTGTTGCAAAGGAAGTGAGGATGATATGATGGTTGTTTTCGGGGAGGACAGTGCGTGCCCATTTCATCCTGCAGTCAAGGAAAACCAGAGACGTGCGCATGGAGCTGCACTCATTTGTTTGTAAGATTTCCAATCTCGGAGAAAACGAAACAAAGTTAAATAGGTCGCAAAGGCGGACTCTGCCTTGTTAGAGAGAAAATAAAGACGGCCGGAGCGCAGGTCAATGTCACACTAACGAAATCGATCTCCGAGATGTTCGTACAGTTGGACGGCGTGACCACTAGCCGTGGGCTGTTCTCGGTGTCAGTGGGGACTGAATCGTCGTTTAAACCATCGTCGCCCAACAAAGTGACAACGACGCCCGATAACACCGTCTC